ATCCAAATCTCATCCCATGATCACATGCGCTACACTAAGTGGGGTCAGAATATTTTAAAAGAATATTTAATATTATATATCTAGTTGGTAGACCCTAAGAGGACCATGGTGACCAAATGATCATTCTCTTTCAAGGGGAGGATTGTTAGGCACCAAGTCAATAGGAAAGGGCTCTGCAATCAAGTGATTCCTCCTTGGATTGAAGATTCCTTAAGTAGTTCATTCAAAAGATTTTTTCTTAGTCACTAACATCATGTTCCTCTATCCAAATGTAAGGTTCTCCCATTTTCAAGAGATTCACCAAGTGTCCTACCATTGTAGCAAAGTGGAGAATCAATCTTTTGTAGTAGTTAACCATTTGGATGAAATTCCTTAGTGTAGTTGTGATAGGAAAAATTTTCAGCCAAAAATGCCATATTTAAAGGCAATATATATGTATATATAAGGTATATATATACAAAACTATTACCATTATACCACTACCATTACCACTTTACTATTCTAACACCATCTTTTCTTCTAATATTTGAAATCAAAGTAAAAAACTAGTCAAACCAAATCCCTTCATGATTATTCTTTCCTTTCTATATCTTATATTTGTCATATTACCCATCCACCTATCACAAACCTTATCTTCCACCATCTTTATAAAATGATTTGCTATATAACTCTTACATTTAAACATACACTCTAACCTCACAAAGATTTCTACCACTATTTAAAAATATTTCCTCGTGTAACATATGTATTTAACAATCTGCCACCTTTCCTACACCAATATTTTATGATATCACACCACCATGTCAGCGTGCTTTTGTACAATTGAAGGAGATCGTGACTGCAGTTTATATTTCAAGGATCCCAAATCTTGATAAACCCTTCAAAGTGTATTGTGATGCATTTAGTTATGCTATATATACTCTATTACAATAGGATTGTGATAATGTGCCTGGTGTTACATTAAGGCAACGTGGTTATTCTATTGTGTTCTACTCCATAAATGGTGAAAGCTGCTGAAAGTGAGTGGTGAAAGTTGCTATTCGTGTCAATGCAAAGCATCACTTCTTAATTAAGGATGGGCTTATTTACTATAAGCAAGATGCTTAAGCATATTATTGGGTCATGAGAATTTGTGTTAAAGTGAAACTATAGACATGGTGGTAAACAATAGACTCTTGCCTCATTGAAAAAAGGATTTTTCTAGTTTGGTATGCAAAATGATGTAGCAAATTATGTCCATTCTTGCCTTACCTACCAACTGTGTAAGCAAAGGACTAAGAAACAAGTTGGGAAGTTGCAATGCATTCTAGCACCGACATGATCATTTCAAAGTATAACACTTGATTTTATCCTTGTTTGCCAAAGTTTAAAGGTTATGACACTTTGATGGTGGTTGTGGATTGGTTTTCAAAAATTGCATACTTTATTTTAACAATGGAAAAAATAAATGCTAAAAAAATGGGAAAGCTCTTTTTCCATGGAGTAGTCTAGGCTCATAAACTTCCTAAAGAGATGATCTTGGATAAGGATTTGAAGTTTATAAGGAAGTTTTGGGGCATATCATTCTAGTTTCTTAGTACTGAATTGTAGTTTACTACAACCTATCATCCTCAATAAATAAGCAAATGAAACATTATGTTTTATTTTAGATCACTAGTAGCTATGTTTTTTAGTCTAAATCTATGTAAAAACACAGCAGATCAGCTACTAGTGAGGAGGCAAGATAGGTTCTCACCCAAATAATACATGGAATAAAGAGATGGGCATTAGCAGATAAATGAATTGCAAATATACCAACCACCACTCCCAATTGGAATGTTGTGGGTCCACATACTTCATAATTGTGCTTTTGAATGTCATATTCAACCATTCAATAATTCAACTAAGCCATCTACCTCAAGATGATAAATAAATGCAAAAGATAGCTTAATATTGAGCCACTACGTCAATATTCTTCAAAGGCCTAACTAGAACATTGACCCAAAAGAATATGCTTGGGAATACCATGCTGCAAAACCAATATCTGTATAAGGAATTGCACAATCTACATGGTTGTCACATTTGGCAAGGTATATACTCCAATCCACTGATGTAATAAGCCACAATAATGATGTACTAATACTCTAAAAATGCCCCATCACCAATTGACAACACCATGGAGATGTTGAAACACTGACACTTCCCACAAGTTTTGATTTACTTAGAGACATCTTGATACATTTGAGGTCAATATAGTTGATTTCATAGTTTTTTCAAAACTTTGTAATACCCCAAGGTCAACCATGGAAGAAGTGTAACCATGAGTATTGATATTCAGCACTATCACCAGTATACACTAATATATACTCAACCACCTTGAACTATTTGGCATACACTAAAATATTATACTCATCACAAGGCTTATTGCCATCTAAAACATTCTACAATTAGTGGATCCATGGTTCCTCCTTTTGAGCAACTACTACTTGCTCATAACTACGTAACATATTTTCTGGAAGTGGAGGAAGCAAGTCATCCACAAGAGTAACCACCAATGGTGTATGAGATAAAGCATCTACATCAGCTATTCTATTTATATCTTGAACAATGCATCCTTGTGAATTTATAGTCTTGGTGTGTAAAAGCCAACTTACCCTAAAAAATTTTATTTATCTGATAACTATATATCTAAACTATAAAGATAAGCATGGAACTTTGAAAAAGCGTTGTTTAGAACCATTAGCAGCTTCTTGCATCAAGTCAGCACTAAGACCCACATCATAAGCATCCATACAAAAGATAAATCCAGAAGAAAAATCAAGATGGTGCAAAATTAGTGTAGAAATCAAAAGCTTCTTGAGCTCTTTAAATGCTCTTTGGCATTTGTGTGACCACATAAACTTCACATCCTACTGTAAGAAATTGTGCAAAGGATAAGCAATTTGTGAAAAACTTGCACAAACCAGTCCAAATAAGTAGCCTTTCCCAAGAATTGATGCAACTTTACAATATTACAAGGAACATAAACTTCATCAACCCTCCAGATTTTTCAAAATTTTATTTTGCAAGATCATAAACCCTAAGTACTTCAGAGAGTTTTGCCCAGATTTGTACTTCAGACGTTTAAGTTTGAGAAAATGTTTAAATTGGCTCATACAAACTCTTCAATGCCTTTCAACATTTCATCCGGCAAGGGCCTATATTAAACCAAATGGCATCACTATGAACTTATACAAATCTATTGAAAGTTTAAAAGTTGTCTTTGCTATTTTCTAATGCCCTGACACTAAGTCCAAGGCCATATTAGCAAAATCCATATTTGCTAATACTCTGACACCAAGTCTATTATGGTGAAAGACTATTCTCTAAAGAATCCATCAAAGTCAAAGGATATAAGTCAACAATCGTGACATCATTCAGAGTGTGAATTGTAAAATACTTTGTCCCATCTGATTTAGGAATAAGATGTGGCTTGACAGTTCATGGATTGCATGATTTGCAAATGACTGCCAAGTCAAACATCTCCTTCACACACTTGTACATGTGCTCCCTCTCTTTAAGAGATCACCAGTAAATGCCCATTTTGATCAGACGACCATCTCAAGTAGGAATACTATAGCAAGTGTGCATAGTGGACTTGGTCTAATTAATAGGACCAATTAGTTTTGGAAAGCAGAGCTTCTCCAACATCACACTCCCACTCTGCAATAAGGGCCCAAATGGTAAAGGTGGAAGATCTTCAAGCATAGCTAACAAACTATGCCAAACACACAATCAATAGCAACAAGAGAAGGATGGGAGATTCCTTTCAAAATTACACTACACCCCAGCAACTTGAAACCAATTGACACCTAAGATGATATTATACACTTGGCTAGGCATCTTGAAGTGTGTCTTTACACAAATTCTATAAATGTTTTCTAAGCCCAACTTCTTTTAGTACTTTCTAAAGATCATGCAATAGGACTATAGTTTATTAGATGGAGTCTAGCAAAACCTCCAATCCGAGCTACACCACAGTGCTCAGTGCTTTCAAGAACCTGTTACAAGAATAAAAGTCAATTGATTGTGTTCCCACCAGCTTTTAACCCATTCCCACTCGAAAGGTGGTGAGGAGAAGACAAAGGAGCTGCAGAAGGTTCCTATTCTTCAGTATCAGCTGATGGAATTGTCCCTCCTCCCAGCGACAGTCACAAGGACCCAGATATTGAAGAGACTGACCTCTGGCAGCACTACAGCATCATTGGAGCACTCCTTGGCCATGGCCTCTTTAGCAGCGGCAGGGGGAGGAAGAGGAGATATTAAGATGAGAATGCATGCAATCTTGTTTTTGACTGCTTAGCTGTAGCGCATTCTTTACAGCTTAATTAATCACAACTCAATATATCACATTGCCATCGAAACCTAATAGTCTTGTAGACACATTATTATTCATATTTGACAATGCAAAGGTGGCGAAGAAATACCTAACTTTTATCAAGTTTCCCTGGCCTGGACAAATCACGCTCAAACCGTCACTTAAGTTAATCCCAAGTTTTCCTGCAATTACAAAGGGTGATGGTGAAACACTTGTAAGTAGTCATCCAATCCCGCCGACCTTGCCCGACCATGCTAGCCTCCTACACAACAATTACAATGTTTTTAGTACAGAAGAACAAGAAGATTTTTTCAAACTCACCTCCAAAGTAAATAAGACTCATTCCGAGTGCGATCACTTCATCGTCCGTAACGTTCAAAATCCCCTCTGCTTGTAATTCCTCCAGCACGACCTAAGAAACACAACGGTATAACATTGAAGAAACTCAAACAACAGATTACCATACCTCGATAGGAACATCATAGGTTGCTCTCTTACTTTGGATAACACTAGAAAGTTAGCCCTTTCCAAGATGGCACTCTAGAAAGACAAGAACCTTTTAAATTAGAAATTGAAAATTTTGTTTACCAAGAAAGATTAAATGTAGAATGTGTTGCCCATTTAATGATATTGTTAGCAGAGCAATTAGAATTTTTGCAGAGTATCAGCAAAAGGCCAGGACACTTTGTATTTGTGCAAGGTATGTGAAACTGGCATTTTGTGGCCACCACAGCAGCAGTGGAGAATAAGCATCTTCCCTGTGAAGGAGTGAGTAGGTATTAGAGAAACAAGATTGATTTACCTGAGATTCTTTCTTGAGTAGCATCGTCTCCAATCTACCCCCACAATCCTGAAACAATAGAAAACAATGGAATTGAGCTCACAAAGAGCCAAGGATTTACCTTAGATTTTGCCACGAGCAGCATTGCGCCCTGAGAATTGGCAACCTTGCCCCCACAATCCTGACACAAAAGAAAACAGTGGAATTGAACTCACAAGAGCCAAGGAACAAGAGTGGTTTACCTTAGATTTTGCCTCGATTGTGCCCTGAGAATTCACGACAGTGTCAAATCGGCCACCACAATCCTGTAACAGAAAGCAATGGAATTAAGCTCACAAGAGCCAAGGAACAAGAATGGTTTACCGCATCGAGCAGTATAGTGTCCTGAACCTCGTCCAATCGGCCACAACAATCCTGTAACAAAAAGCAGTGAATTGAGCTCACCTGCGACTTGAGCAGCACCATCTCTGTTATGCCCCGAGAATGCATTATGTCACATACGGCCGCATCCTTGGCCACCCTGTCCTGGACACCAAGCGTGTCCCAAAGACCATCGTCAAAGAGTGCCTTAGCAGGGACAAGCTTGGCACCAGACCCACTCGGCAGCACGTCACGTAGAGCATCTTCGGAGAACAAGAGGCCCCATCTTTCTATTGACGCCAATGCCGCGGAGATCCACCAAACCGAACTTTCTGATCCCGATCGCGTCCACAGCGTTCAGCTCCTTGACAGGATCCTGGCTGCGGTCATGAGACGCCTGGATGAACTTCCTGGCCGACAGTGTCATGGACATGCCCTGGTAGTCCTCGTAGTTGGCAACCCAGTCCAGACCTCTGTACTCCAATGCCTTGGTGGGAACCGCCAGAAGGATGTAGCTGGTGGAGACCCGATTCTGCCAGATGGAATCCACTTCCTCGTACACGAGGACTTGTTTAGCGTCGAACTTTCCTAAAGTTCCATCAATCACAAATTGCACCGGAGGACCCCGACACTGCAGGCCGAGCTCGAATGTGGAGATGCAACCCATGGCTTCGATGCTCCTGATCTGGCATGGCTCCAGCGGTGTCATTGAAGGCTCCATCTCGTTGTCATACACATAGGCTGGAATGCTCCAAGGTGCTCCCCAGTAAAGGGCATTTGCGTGTGTGTGACGCTGCTTGGGGCAGATGTTTCCATGAGCGAAGCTCTGGTGATCGAGCAACATCGTGTCGGGGCAGCCATATGCAGTCAACTGCTGGTTGCAGCAGATATCGGAGAAGAGGAAGGTGGTGGTGTTATCGTAAAGAAGCTTGAGAGCACGAGCGAGCTCGAGCTTCTGCCAGTGTGCTGCATCCACAGGCAGATCCACCGATAACGCCTGCCCCCACAAGCTAAAATGTCAGCTGCGCTCTTGCGTTCTTCTACTCACTCACCTCCAAACAGCCGCTGCCACACCATGCCGTCTAACCCGGATGGTGTTGTTGTCTTTATTCCGTACAATTCTCATGAAATGCATGAGTGTGTTTGATCCAATGTGTAAGCTTGTATGTGAGGGTGTCAAACCATAGTTCGGGTTGCCACAATAGAGAAATGTCAAAGGCATTACTCTCCTCTTGGAAACCTTGTGTTTCCTTTATATCCTGCTCTCTTTCCATGGAGGCATCTTGCAATTTTGGGTATGTGATTTCAGGTATCGAAAGTTACTTGTTGGTTAGTTCTTTTAGATATTTTTTCTTTATTGCCACGACAGGAAAAGGTTGGTTTTGTTGGTCCCTTTTTCAGTCTTTGCCTAAGTTAGTTGAGAAACTTATTTTTATATATGCACTTGACCAAATGAGTATAAGGACGGAATTCCTAAATGTTATTAATTAAACATACGTGACTTGATTAAAGAAATTCATTTGTTGACTTGCACTTACTAGTATTGGGAACCCCTATGTTATTGAGCTTAGTCCCTTAATATTCACCAGATGATAATTTACTGTGTACCCTCGCTATCATGCACTTTATATTAGTTCCATTTAGTCATAATTGCTATTTATGGAAAGTGTTTAAATTTTCTAATTTATTATATCTACGGAATATAAAGATTGTCTTGAACACAATGGTGTTCGTCCCATGCCAAAATTTGCAATATAATGCAATTTTATATTAATAAGTTTCGAATTAGTTCCAGAGACTAACTCCGGGTACTAAGGATGGGTAAGGGTGAAAGCCCAAAGCGTATGTTCCGGGGGGGGAGTGGTTATGGGGGTTTCCAAATATATAGTGGGGATAGTGGGTCATTAGGCATGGCTGACTAACCTAAGGTATAATTTAACTTTGACTTATATGCTTGTCTTTGTTTTGTGTCTGACTTGGGTCTAAACCCAAGTTCCACACTATGTTAGCTGGTGGAGTACCCATATCCTCGCGTTAGGCCATCAGTATGCTAAAATAACATCAAACTCTATTTGGCTTTGTTCTGCATGCTGGTCCTGGAATTGGGATGCTAGATACTCTAGGACTGTTCAAAGTCACTCTGTGCTTCTGTCTCTTCGCTCCTTGAGCTATATACTTGGGAGTTGCTCTGTGTTCCAGTTTCGTCGCTCCTTGGCTCCATACTTAAGAGTTTGGCTCCATTTCTTCGTTTAGTGGGCCAAGCCTTTGAAACTTGAGTTTTGTTCTACTATCCTTTAGACATGTGGCACATAGAGGGTTTAGGTTCCACTTCATGGTTATTCTATAGTAAATCATTATAGGATAAAGGGTAAAAACCACATGCGCTATATTTGATATCAGAAAATATATTTTAGTAAGTATTATCCCATGAGATTAGGCAATTAGTCTTGTTGCATATGCAGAAATGAAAACAATGATTTAAGTGGGTATACATTTGGGTGCTAAGACCTTGCATTTTTTCCTTATGTATAGATTTGGTTACCTTTTGCACTATATTATGTGAGTTTGCTCTTAGGCCCATAGAATGGAATGAGATGTTCCGTTTGCATGAGTTTGCGCTTGGGTTCGTGAAAGAGGCACATTAGCAACTCAAGGTTACACTTTGAGTTGGCAAGATAGATTTGAGGTGTATTATTTTGCACAAGTTTACACTTGGGCTTGTGAGTGAGGCACATTAGCAACTCAAAGTTACACTTTGAGTTGACAGAATTAATGTTAGCCTTTTGGTGGTTCCATGAGTTGTTTTATGAGTTATTCCATATACCGTGGGTGAAAGTAAACTTTCTCTGGGTTTGCTAAGAGTGGCAAATAGGCTAGTCTATAGTTGTTTAGTACGGCTCTAGTGGATCCTTCCTAGGCATGATTATATATGGATTAATCAAGACTATAGGGATTAGTCAATTGGTTCAAGTAGTCATTGTTGCGCTCCTCATAAACTTTTCTTAAATTGGACTAAAAGCAATGCGAATGCAAACTTGAGGTTTGGTCAAAGATGAGACCAAAAAGAAAGTTGTTAGGGATGAAGGATCAAACACGTAAATCATTTTTTCTTCTTAAAGAAATAATTTGTAATGAGGTGTAAACTCATTACTTGTATTTACATTATGCAATCAAGAGTCTCTATCTTAATATACGTTGGTTATGATGGTTTTACAAGTGGCAAGTCAAGGGATGGATAGTGGTGAAGCACTAAACCATTTTGTCTAAGCTTGCTATTGAAGACTTGGGTTACAATGCTCAATACTTTTCCAAGAAACTTTGCTATTGCTCCTTGAGTAGCTTGGTGTTGGATTAATTTTGAGTTTAGTTGGAAAGAGAGTGGCATGAGTTTGTCCATGTTGTGAACAAAATTTAGTGGTGTTAAAAGTTGTAATCTTTATCGGTGGAATGTAGGGAATAAAGTGATGGGAGTGAATGTGTTGCCCGGGAATGGTAATTGTAGAAGTGATGGAATATAGCAGCTTAATAGATGAATGGTGGAAGACAGTGATGGTTGATTGTAATGTAGGGATGGTGGAGGGGATCTGGAAACTTGTGAATATGGTTGAAGTGGTTGGCGATATGTGTGCTAGTCAAAGAAGAAGAAAAGACTCACAATCTTACTGACATCTATTGAGATCATTATAACTTGTTACTATAGGAATGTGGGATTGGGTAAAACATCCACTCATAGTAATGTTTGGTCTCATGTGCATTATGCTCTACTTTTGTAGGAGAATTCTAGGAAAGGATTTGTCATGCTTTCACAAAGGTTGTGACAGAATTTGCTGGTATGGTCAAGCAAATTCAGCTGTAAGATGCTAAGGTACAAAAGCTTAGTATGCACATGGAGCCACCTTTCTCAAGCTAGAATGGCTTGCACTTGTATAATGGCTAAGTTGAGTTGATGAGCTGATCAACCATGTCCTCTATTATTATCATGATTGTTTGGAGGCTAGTCATTTTAGGGGGAGGAATACTTATAAGCTGTTTAAGTATAGGTTCTTTTGGAATATGAAAAATGATGTTCTTGAATATTGCAAAATATGCAAGAATTGTCAACAAAGTGAAGGTGCCAAAGGAAAAACTAGTGGTGCTTTTTGTACCATTATTGTTTATCCCAGAGGATTGTGTAAGTAAATTTAGACTTCTTGAGAGGTCACTCAGCCCAATACTACTTAAACCCAAGGACATTTAACCCTAAGTATCCTAATACCTTTAAATGATTGGGAAAAGAAGTATACTCTTACTTAGTGACAAAGAGTATAGTTATATGGTGAGGGAGGAAGTCCTAGAGATTAGTAGGGCTTAGAGGATGGGCTTTTGGGCATTGGACCAGTAGTGATGTTGACAAGTACTACTATAAATGAAGAGGGACTTAATGGGGATTGAAAAAGGGATATTGAGGAATAGTGTTTTCTATGTCTTAAGCATATTGCCAAGTAGAGGGATGCTTTAAAGTCGTGATACACAATTAGTGTACTTAGTGTGAAAGCTTGGTATATCTAATTTAAACATCTAGTGTGAGTGGCACCGAAGATATGATGAATGATATAGAGACACCTAATTTGAATTTCTATAAACTCTTGGCCAAAAGGGCTAGCTTGGGTGCACTGCCAAGTGTGGGGGACACCCCTAGAGTCATGGTCAACAATTTAAAAGTTTAGTAAACCAAGTATTTATTGATAAACTTGGTGGGATGGGCCACTAAAAGATCATATGGTTAGATAATCATAAACAAGATCTTTGCTTGGTTAAGGAATGATGTTT